CCCATCCCAACCCATCCCATCCCATCCCATCCCATCCCATCCCATCCCATCCCATCCCCACCCCATCCATGCCCACCCTATCCCATCCCCACCTCGTCCCTTGCCCATCCCATCCCATTCCCATGGATCCCGCCCCATTCCCACCCCGCAGGGCATCCTGCGCGAGGGGCTGGAGGACGTGGCGCAGTTCTTCAAGGCCCACGGCTCGTGCCGGCTGCCGCTCAGCCCCAGCCTGCTGGTCAAGGGCATCGTGCCCCGGGTGAGTGCCAGGCCTGGGGGGCTCGGGGGGCTCCTGCCCGCTCCCGGCTCGCCCTGACCCACTGCTGCTCCCTCCTTCCCGTGGCAGGACTGCTCCTACTTCAACTCCAACGCCGTCCCGTTGAAGCTCTCCTTCCAGAACGTGGATCCGCTTGGGGAGAACATCCGCGTCATCTTCAAGGTGAGCCTGGCACCTTTGGAAATGCCCAAATCCTGGCACAGCCCTCCAAGATTCTCGCGGCTCTGGTGGCTCTTCCCTGGCTCTGGTGGCTCTTCCCTGGCTCTGGTGGCTCTGGTGGCTCTTCCCTGGCTCTGGTGGCTCTGGTGGCTCTGGTGGCTCTGGTGGCTCTGGTGTCTCTGGTGGCTCTGGTGGCTCTAGTGGCTCTAGTGGCTCTTCCCTGGCTCTGGTGGCTCCTCCCTGGCTCTGATGGCTCTGGTGGCTCTCCCCTGGCAGTGTGGCGATGACCTGCGGCAGGACATGCTGACACTGCAGATGATCCGCATCATGAACAAGATCTGGGTGCAGGAGGGGCTGGACATGCGCATGGTCATCTTCCGCTGCTTCTCCACCGGCCGTGGGAGAGGTGAGATGGAGTTTGGGTGTCCCCAGGGGTCACCGGGCTCTGGGTGGAGCTGGAGATGGCTTGGGACATCCTGGGGTGTGATGCCACCATCCTGGGGTGTGATGCCACCAATCCCATCCCTGTCACGCAGTGGTGACAGGTGGGGAATGCTCGGGTTGGTGACAAAAGGGGTTGGGGTCACAGCTCTTGGGGCTGCAAGGGTCTCACCCCACTATCCCACCTGCCAGGCATGGTGGAGATGATCCCCAACGCCGAGACCCTGCGGAAGATCCAGGTGGAGCACGGCGTGACCGGCTCCTTCAAGGACCGGCCACTGGCGGACTGGTTGCAGAAACACAACCCCAAAGAGGATGAGTATGAGAAGGTGAGGAAGAATCCCTGTGTCCACCATTCCAGGGACCAGCCTTGCTTCCCACCGTATCCGTCCTTTCTCCTTTTCCTTCCCTCCTTCCTCACAGGCCGTGGAAAACTTCATCTACTCCTGCGCCGGCTGCTGCGTGGCCACCTACGTGCTGGGCATCTGTGACAGGCACAATGACAACATCATGCTCAAGACCACAGGCCACATGTTCCACATCGATTTCGGCAGGTTCCTGGGCCACGCCCAGATGTTCGGCAACATCAAGAGGTGAGAGAGGCCCCTGGGACTTCCTGTCCTCATCCCCACAGAGGGAGAAGCTCCCTGTCCATGTCCTGGTGGTGGGTGACCTCTCCCTCTCCATGTCCTCGTGGTGGGTGACCTCTCCCTGACCTTGTGCTGGTGGTGGGTGACCTCTCCTTCTCCATGTCCTGGTGGTGGGTGACCTCTCCCTGTCCTTGTCCTCGTCCTCTCCCTCTCCTGATCCCACCCCCCATCCCTGCTCACTTTGTCCCTCCTGTCCCTCTCCGCAGGGACCGGGCGCCGTTCGTCTTCACCTCGGACATGGCGTACGTCATCAACGGCGGGGACAAGCCCTCCAGCCGCTTCCACGACTTCGTGGACCTCTGCTGCCAGGCCTACAACCTGATCCGCAAGCACACCCACCTCTTCCTCAACCTGCTGGGGCTGGTGAGAGCCGGGAGGCCACAAAATTCCCCTCAGCGTGGCACAGGGGTCCCTTTGTCCCCTGTCCCCATCCCTGTCCCCATCCCTGTCCCCATCCCTGTCCCCATCCCTGTCCCCATCCCTGCCAGATGCTGTCCTGTGGCATCCCCGAGCTCTCCGACCTGGAGGACCTCAAGTACGTCTACGACGCGCTGAGGCCACAGGACTCCGATGCCGATGCCACCACCTACTTCACCAGGTAGGGGACGTGGGCGGGTGACCCAGCAGCGGCCGGAGGGTCCCTCAGACGGTGGCACTGAGCACGCGACGGCCTCGTTGCAGGTTGATCGAGTCCAGCCTGGGCAGCGTGGCCACCAAGCTCAACTTCTTCATCCACAACCTGGCGCAGATGAAGTTCACGGCCTCGGACGCCCGGCCCACGCTGTCCTTTGCCCCCCGCACGCACACCCTCAAAACGTCCGGCCGGATCCGCGACGTCTTCCTCTGCCGCCACGAGAGGGTCTTCAACCCCAGCAAGGGCTACGTGAGTGGGGACAGCTGGGGACGGGCCCGGGCTGGGCTCGGGGTGCCCCGGAGCCCCGTCCCACGTCACGGCCCCACCTCTCTGCAGACCTACGTGGTGAAGGTGCAGAGGGACAACCCGAGCGAGGTGACCTTCGTGCAGCGCACCTTCGAGGAGTTCCAGGAGCTGCACAACAAGCTGCGCCTCCTCTTCCCCTCCTCGCTGCTGCCCAGGTACTCCTGAAGCCCCTCCGGACCTCCGGGGACTCCCCAGAACCCCCCGAGACCCCCCTGAGTGTCCGTCCCCCCGCAGCTTCCCCAGCAGGTTCGTCATCGGGCGCCCGCGGGGCGAGGCGGTGGCCGAGCGGCGCAAGGAGGAGCTCAACGGCTACATCTGGCACCTGATCCACGCCGCCCCCGAGGTGGCAGAGGTGGGGACACGGGGTGGGGGCTGCGGGGAGCTGGGGACAGCGGCAGGGCCACCAGGGAAACGCTTGGGGACAAGGCAGCTCGTAGAGCAGCGGCGTGTGCCCCACGTAGAGCATCGGCGCTTGCCCCGGTCTTGAGTGGCGGGGATGTTGTCACCGCTGTCACCGCTAATGTCACCTCCTGACCCCGCAGTGTGACCTCATCTACACCTTCTTCCACCCCCTGCCCCGGGATGAGAAGGCGGCTGGAACCTGCCCGACCCCGAAGCCGGCAGGTGGGGCAGGGGTGATTTTGGGGTGTGATTTTGGAGGGTGACGGCAGGAGGTGACACCAAAGCTGTCCCATCCCTCCCGTCCCCCTCTCCAGACGCCACATGGGCTCGATCCCTGGGCAAGGTCGGCGGGGAGGTGAAGCTCTCCATCTCCTACAAGAACAACAAGCTCTTCATCATGGTGATGCACATCCGAGGGCTGGTAGGAGCACGGCACGCACGGGGACAGGCCGGGGGGCTGTCCCCTCCCTGCTCTCACCGCGTGTCCCCACTCTGCCCCACAGCCACCCCTGCAGGACGGCAACGACCCCGACCCCTACGTCAAGACCTACCTGCTGCCTGACCCCCAAAAAACCACCAAGAGGAAAACCAAAGTGGCCCGAAAAACCTGCAACCCCACCTACAACGAGATGGTAAGGGGGGACGGGGACGGATTTGGGGCGTCCCCGCGGGCGGCCGCGGCTGAGGGTTTGTCCCCCGTTGTGTCCCACAGCTGGTGTACGACGGGATCCCCCGGGGGGACCTGGAGCAGCGGGAGCTGCGGCTGAGCGTGCTGAGCGAGGAGGGATTTTGGGAGAACATCCTGCTGGGGGAGGTGGGAATTCGCCTCCGCGACTTGGACCTGGCCCAGGAGAAGATGGGCTGGTTCGCCCTGGGCTCCCGCGGCCACGGCACCCTCTGAGTCCCCCCCTCCCACCCCGGGACCCCCGGGTGTGTCCCCAAAAGGGCGCTGCCCAGGTGGCTTCTTTTTTAAGTTTACCTTGTGTCAAGGGAGCAACGCGGGACGGGAGGGGCGTGGGGCGGTTCGGGGGTTATTTCTTCCTTTGGGATATCCGTATTTTAATTTTTTTTTAATAACGAGTAGCGTGAGCACCGGTGGAGGGGGAGGTGGCACGGGGGGTAGGGAGGGGTAGGGGGGTGTGTGGACCTCCCCAGCCCAGGAATCGGGCAATTCCCACCGCGGGGAATTCGCTCCCAAAGGAGAGCGGCGTGGCGGGGTGCCCGTCCCGTGTGGCTGCCGGCCACCTCTGCTGTCCCCTTGCCCTGGGGACATCCGTGTCCTCCCCGCCTGCCACCCGGCTCCGGGTGCGGGCTTGGTGCCTGTGGTGCTTTGTTTACAGCGACAGCTCCGTAAACGGACGAAATGTTTCTCAGGATCGAGAATAATTAACTTTAACCTTTATATTAAAAGTTTTAAATATTGGATCTGGTGGCGGTCGCGGCGTGGCGGTGGCCGGGGTGGCTTCTCAGGGGAAGTTGGGAATCTCCTGCCTCTGGAACGCGGGAATGGGATCACGGGAAGGGAGGAAAGGCACGGGGTGGCACATCTGGCACATCTGCCCCACTGCCTGCACATCTGGGCACACATCTGCCCGCACATCTGCCCGCCGCATCCTCCAGAACGCCGAGCCCTGGGGGTCTGGGGTCTGCCTCCCTCAACCCCCAGGATCCTCCAGCCCCTGTCCTAGTGCGCTCCTCACCCACCGCTGTCCCTGGGGCTGACAAAGTGTCCCCAAAGTGTCCCCAAAGTGTCCCGTCACCAACCCCGGGTGGATTCGGGGTCTCCCCGCCCGTCCCCGAACCCCGCCGCGCCGCCAGGGGGCGCTGCCGCGCGCCGCGCGCCGGCTGATGCAATCCCCGCGGGGCGTGGCCACAGGGGGAGTGGGCGTGGCCTCTCCGACACCGCCCAATGGGAGGTGGAAATGCAAAGTGGGCGGGGCAGGAGGGGGTGACGCCCCGCCCCTCCCTCTGGGGGCGTGAGGCGCCGCGGCGGCGGCGGTGCCGCCATTTTCTGCTGAAGCCGCGTCAGGATGGAGTCGAAACCCGAGCCGGAGCTGCCCGCCGTCCCCCGAGCCCTGCGACTCACCGCCCCGCCACGGAGCGCCGCTCCACACGCTCCTCCGCACCGCTGGCAGCGCTGAACGGCCTCATGGAGCACAGCGGACGCGAACGCGCCGGTCCCGGCTTGGGATGGGCCCGACTGGGCCTGGCCGCGGCCTGGCCGAAGCTGGCGGGGCCCAGCGCGGCGCCCTCCGGGGGCTCGTCCCAGGCGAGCCCGCCCTTCTCGTGGCTGCGCGCGGTATCGCAGCTGCTGTCGCCGCTGCCCGGCCTCCTGCAGCGGCTGCTGCCCGGCGCCGCGCTCAGCTCCGCGCTGTGCCCCGCCAAGGCACCGCCGCCGCTGGTGCTGCTGCCCAAGGCGGACACCTCGCTGGACTGGGCCGAAGAGGAGCCCCCGGAGAAGCGATCGGAGGGCGGCCAGGAGCCCCTGGCGGGGCTGTGGGGAAGCGGGCTGGTGCGGAGCGGCCTGGGGGTGCTTCCCGTGGATTGGTACGTGCTGGGCATGGAGCAGGGCAAGAGCCACCTGCCGCAGCCCCTGAGAGCCGAGGGCTTGCCCGAGGTTGAGTTCCTGCGCAGCAAGCGCCTGGCGTTCCTCCAGCGCTGGCATCTGCCCGTGCCCGACCCCGACCACGGCTACCACAGCCTGGAGGAGGAGCAGCAGCAGCAGCACAGGGGTGTCCGCCCCGAAATTGGGGAGCTGGGCGGCAATAACGGGGATTTAGGGCAGCCCGGAGGTGTTCCCCTGGAGCAGGAGCAGCTCCGGGATGCGGCTGAGGAAGGGGAAGCCTTGGCTGAAGAGGAGGATGAGGACTCGGAAACTGAGCAAAACTTCCCGATTTCCACCAGACCTGTCTGCGCGAATAAATTAATCGATTATATCATCGGAGGAGTATCCAGTGGGGAGGAGAGTGAGGATGAGGAAGACTGGGATGATGATGATGATGATGATGAAGAAGATGATGATGACGGGTTTGACAGCGAAGACCTGCCCTCGGACTCAGACGCCGGCAGCCAGGACGGGGAGAGGCTTCATCTGTGGAATTCCTTCTACAGCTTGGATCCCTACAACCCTCAGAACTTCACAGCCACCATCCAGACGTCTTCCAGTGAGCCGGGAAAGGGAATGTCGGACATGGAAGAGGAGGAGCAGGAGGAGGAAGACTCGTGGGCTGAGTCCTCCGAGGGCTCTCCTAGTTCCGAGGAGGACGAGTGGGACTGCGAGAGCGCGGATGAGGCGGAAAACTTGAAACTTTGGAACTCGTTCTGTAGCTCGGACGATCCCTATAACCCTTTAAATTTCACGGCGGCCTTTCAGACAGTGGAAAAAAAAGGAACGCCGGTTTTCCAAGGGGCAGAAAAGTCAAATTCCGGCACCTCCGAGCGCTTCACCGCGTGTAGGGTTCAGCTGGAAAAACAAAACCACGGGGGCAGCACCGATTTGGGGCAAAACGGGGAGAAAACTGCCCAGGCCAAGCGGAAAAAGGTACAGGTTTTATTGATATTTTTGTGTTTGGGGATTGTTAAAAAAAAAACCAACCATCGTGCCAAGTAGGAGTGAGGTCAGCGTTGCAGATCGTGCTTCCATATGTGCTGATAATTTCCCTGGAATGCTGCGCCTCATCCGAGCCACGTGATGGGAAATTTTGAGCCTCGCTGAGAAGCAGAAGGGAATTTCTTCTGGAGATTCCGAGCTGGGTTTCCGTTTTGAGTTGTAATTTTTGTTGTGGTTTCCACAGCAGAGAAACTCCCAAGGCTGGGGTGTAAATTTTTCCCTGAGAAACTGCAGAGCTTTAAGGAGTTTCCCTGGAAGTTTCCCTTTTTGTTTCTCTTAAAAGGAATTTAGTTAGAACCTGAAACCAAAAGAATTTTTTCTTTTTAAAGAAATTCTTATTAAATTCTTATTATAATAAATTATTAAATTCTTTCTTCTTAAAAAAGACTTATTAAGTCTTCTGGGGTAAACTAAAGTTCCCATATTAATTACCTCGATATTCTCATTTCCGTTTAAGATATTAGTAAGTGTTACAACAATAAATCATATTGTTTATAAATATAATGTTTAAATTATAAGCATATCTAATAGAGTTACATATTAGATACATGTTATATTAGTTATATAAGTTAGTATAGTAGGTATAGTTATATAAGTATGTATAACATAACTATTTATAGTTATTTATAGAGTAGTTATTTATAGAATAGCTATTTATATAGAAGGAATATTTTTATCCACACATTTTTTTGATTACAGAAGGACTGTAATCAAAAACTGGACTTTTGAGCCCAAACAGGCAGAGTAATTTGATTTTTCTGAGGAATTTGGGCATTAATAATACCCGTGCTAAGATGCAGGTGAACAGGAACTTATCCTAAATTCTGTGGTGCTGCAGATGTTCAAGGTACCTCAAACATCTGGATGAGGAATGACTACCCAATTTTTTAATCCCATTTTTGATCCATTTTTGGGGTCTATATTATTTAATTAATTTATTTAATTTATTTAATATAATGTGTTTAATGGAATTAATTTATTTATTAATAACTATTAATTGTATTATATAATTATTATATATAAATTATATATAATATATACGCATATGTTATATGTTATTTATAATATAATATATAAATTATATATAATATATAAATATATATAACTATATTAATTATTGATGATTATTTATTAATAATTAATAAATCTATTAACTTAATCTATATTATTTTAGAACTTGAGCTCCAAATCTCTGAGCAATCCAATGCTTGAGCAAGT